ATAATATTAGCAAGTAGTTCTGGTATTTGTCTGGCCATCATCTTCAGAGGCGTAGCTCCAATTTCATAATTTCCGGTGCTTTTTTAATTTTTTTTTCATTGAAGATATCCTGACAATCTACTTGTTTTTCTCTTGTTTCATGTAGTTGAACGACACCTTGTTTGATTCAATTTTCCAAGTTATCTCCTATACATGTGAAAAATCCTATGAACTCGTCACATATGTGTCAAGAGTAATCACGTGATTTGCATTTGGAGCATGGTATGAAGGAGCCTACAAATACGACCAAAAACTACTGGTCTAGTTTACACTTATCCGAGTAAAGTTGCAGAAACAGGTGCGACTAAAAACACTTTTAAACAACAATCTCTTATTAGCCTTTAGAGTAAAGTAAAAAGCTAAAAGTAATTTTATTCTTATTTAGAACAAGCGATTTTATACTCCTTGATCTTCAAACAATGACGAAGCTTCTTTGTCGAAGGTGCTCAAATAAGAACAAAGGAGTAAGCTCTTACTTAAAATGTTCATTACCGTTTAAACGTTAAGGAGTATGAAACGGCTTATTTCTAACTGGAATAAAATCGCTTTTGATTTTTCACTTCTTAACAGTAATTAGAAGCTCATTTTTAAGAAATTCCTCTTTCATTTATCTTACTCTATAGTGTTTACTTTTTACTTAAGGTGTGTAATATGTTAAATAACTATCTTGGTAATTTATACCTCATTCAAATACAGGGTGGCCCATCTTGTGTGAACGGAATATTACCCATAAACAAATACATTTTTGGGAAAACATATTTACGGCATGTGATACATGAGATTTGAGGGCACATTTCTGAAATATTGGCAATTATACAGGGTGTCTCAATTTCGACCTACATATCAGAATTGCGATTTTTTAAACAGAATGCCTCAAATTTTATTGCATCTTTGGATGAACCAATTCAAAAGACGAAGATTCATATAACATACTTTAGGGTTTGGTAATTAGCTACTGAGATGTAAGGTGTCTGGTCCAGAAAAACCGTCCACTTCGGCAACCCCTCAATCCGCCATTTTGAAATTTGTAGTGCTGAATTTTGTCAAGGGCTGTCAAAGTAGCATAGCGATGGGAATTATCGAAGATATGCACAGCACAGCTGTACTGTGGCCGATATTCCTCATAAATGTACTTACTGGTTGGTCGTGTCATATAACAATGACAGGTTCATATCTTTTTATCGAGTCTGCATTTCAAAGATATAATACCCGAGTGTTTGAAAAAACAGTGTCGCTAGAAAAATTCAAATAATAACTGGATTAGTTTCAACTAATTATTTGTGTTTATCATAGGTTCAAATTTATTCATAACTGTCACAAATAGCGTGCAGCATTTCCAGATAGTAATACTATCCTGTTGTGGTTTTTTCTTACCGTCCTATTCGCTTGTACATTCAGAAATTGTAGAAATACTGTGAGTAAATTATTATCATTATCAGTGTGGGGAACAGATGTCTTGTGGCAAATTCAGTTTTCTTGTGATTGACCTGCACTAATTATCATATATACAGGGTGACTTTGAAGTTGAGTCATTAATTTTCAGATAATGATTGTAGAAGGAAGATAAACCAAAATATGTGTGTAAAAATAAAAAAAAAATAAAAAAAAAATGTTACCTTGTTTTATAAAGTATCCTCCCGACAAGTATTTCAGTGCGGACCTGTATTTGATCGTGCGGTCTTGGAGCACCGGCATGCCCTCCCCTGTGAGGTCTTAAGTCACCTGATTCACGAGCCCTTTGTACTACATTAACAAAGGCACGAGGGGTTGGTTGCACTCGATTGGGAAACCGATCCGCATAAATCCGTAAATAAAAATCATGTCCACAAGTTCAGCATTTTCGTAAACATGTGCCATTTTTGATTTCGTTTGAGCCACGCAACAGACACCACTATTCACTCACGCATTACCGACTGACACAACTGAATAAAATAATTGTAAAAACATCGTTCCAAATTCTTTCGCTTTTTTGTTTCCGATGCGATGAACCGATAAGGCGGATTATATCCGTTGTTGCCAAACACGAGCAGATAATATTATTATTGAGACAGGGCGGTACTCAAACTTCCAAAGGGCTATAACTTTGTTACTTTAATTTTACCAGAAAAATGGTAAAGGAAAAAAACATTTCTTTTGATCAGATCTACTCACTGTTAAAATAAATGACTCAACTTCGAAGTCACCCTGTATATAGTTATAATGTATTATGATTGTTATTGTATCGCATGATAGTAAAGATGCGTATTAGAATATCGTTATTATCTGAATTCTAACCGACTCATCCAAGAAAGAAAGGTTTCCCTTTTACATTTTGCGGACTTTATCTCTTTAGAGTATAATGCCTTATTTAGCTTCTTTCTTTTTTTCTAAAATTTCATAAAGCACTGGCAACAAAGGATATTCGACTTGACCAGAAAAAAGTTTTTAGGATAACTTTAACCCAGAAACATATCTGTTTACTTTGACGGATCGGGTACAGCAGCAGAAACACGTGGTAATGGCGAATAATTGAGGAGTGCGTTAAAATATACCAGAATTGACAATCGACATATATATATATATAATATATATATATAGGGTGGCCCATTCATCTGTTGATGGAATATTACTCATAAACAAATACATTTTGGAATAATATATGTATGGCATGTTATACATGATATCTGAGGGCACAATTCTAAAATATTGGCAATGATACAGGCTGTCCCAATTTTGACCGACATATCAAAGTTGTGATTTTTTAAATGGAATGGCTCAAATTTTATTGCAGATTTCTATAAATCAATTCTTAAGTAGAAGATTGATAAAACATACCATGGAGTTTTGGTAATTAGCTACTGAGATGTAAGATGTTTTGTCCAGAAAAACCATCCACTTCGGCAACCCCTCAATCTACCATTTTGAAATTTGAAGTGCTGAATTTTGTATCAAAAAAAAACTACACACCTCATTTGTTTCCAAGGATGATGAGATATTTTAGGGAATTAAGCCGTGCTAATGACCGCAAAAATAGTGGTGAAAACCCTTATGTGTCTAGTATTGAAAAGAAAAAAATCATAAACTGAATCCAAACTTGCGCAAATATACAGGGTGATGCATTTGAAATTTGTGTGAAAAACTACAATTTGCGTTTTTGACCACCCTGTACGAGCAAAAATGAAAACTCGAAAGAGTAACAAATAAGATAAAAGCTGAGGTGTGTAAATTTTTTTTGATACAACACTGGCGGACTGAGGAGTTTCCGAAGTGAGTTTTTTTTTAGACAAAACAACCTACATCTCAGTAGCTAATTACCAAAACCCCATAGTATGTTATATCAACATATCAATTTTCTCCTTTGGAATTGGTTATCTAAATATGCAATAAAATTTCAGTCATTCCATTTGAAAAATCACAACTTTGATATTCGAAATTGGGACACCCTGCATAATGGCCAATATTTTAGAAATGTGCCCTCAAATGTCATGTATAACATGCCGTAGATAGATTTTTCCAAAATGTATTTGTTTTATGAGTAATCCCCCTTATTCTCGTATTACTAGTAGCATTTATGTATGATCCACCATTTAGGCAGCGTACGAAGTTAAAGTAGCACGATCGTGATAATATTTTATTTATTCGAGCAGATCGCTATATGGAAGCTTTCTCTTTAGATAATATTATAACAAATGAATGAGATCTTGTGGGCATAATTAATATAAAAATTAAAATTGTAACAAAGAAATGAAACAAAACGGTAGCCCCATGTTTTCCCAATTTTTGTCCATTAAAATACTTGTATTCTAATATCTAAGTTTGTCAAGATAATTGTGGGACTTACTGTGACCCGAATAAGATGTGTATTATTTAGAACATTGATTCCCAAACAACTTGCAAGGGGTCTACGTCAGCGAAAAAAAAATTAGGGGTCCAGGAAATGAATATGGGGGTCCACGATAGTGGATCTCAACACATACACTGATAGTACCTATTTACTTACATCATACTATCTTATAATATCAAAACATATACATTATTTATAAAAGTACCTATGAAGTAAAAAAATTATTATATATGTTTATAAAATTGTGTAAGTTGTAGGATGTTGGTTTTAGTTTTGTACTCGTAGTTAGCAAAGATAGACAAATTACGCCAATCATGACTTTAGTTATTAGTAGTTAAATATTCAATCATGCAAAATTACACGAGTACTCCTCAATAGTTTCTTTTTTAAAGTTTTATCAATCGGTAATAGTGCAATCTCCGTAATTCGAAATAATTTTTGCAAGAAGATGTTCGAAAAATGGAATGTTTTCGGAAAAATCAAAAAATATTTTTAATATACAGCTGCTGGATTTTCTGTCTTATTTAAATAATTTAATTTTTCCCACAGATGACTGATGCCATGTCCGAATCTAAAAAGAAATGTAGACAGTACAGTGTTGATTATTTGAAATTTGGCTTCATTCCATCATTGCCGGGCAAACAATCACCTATGTGCCTTTTATGCAACAGAGAAAGATTTGAAATACTTTCAAACACTCAAAGATAAATTTCAGAAGATACCAACACTGGACAGAATGTTCGCTTCGACGTCACAAAGAAATGATGATGGTTTGCGGGCGTCTTACAATATCTCGTTACTTATAGCAAAATACGGAAAACCGCATACTATCGGAGAGAAGTTAATTTTGCCAGCCGTTGAAGAGGTTTTAAAAACTGTTTTACACAAACCTGCATCTGATATCATTAAGAGAATTCCCTTAAGCAACAATACTGTTGAAAGACGTCTTGATGGCATGAGTTCTGATATTAAAAGCTTCTTATGTAATTATTTGCAAACGACCCGTTTCTCTATACAACTGGACGAGTCAACTTTACCTGATAATGCAGCATTATTCTTGGCATATGTTCGTTTTATTATGAATCAAGAAATCTACGAAGAACTGCTCTTCGCAAGAACTTTGATAACCGACACTAAAGGTGAATCAATATTTCATGTTTTGAAGGATTACTTCATTGAAAAAGCAATTCCTTTATCAAATATAATATCAGTAGCTACAGATGGAGCACCTGCCATGGTTGGACGTTATCGTGGATTTATAAGCTATTTAAAACAAAATGTGTCAGGGGTGTTAGCAATACATTGCGTCATCCATCGACAAAATTTAGTTGCTAAAAATTTGAGTGTTAGAATGCATGAATCACTTCATTTAGTCATTGCGACAGTAAACCGAATCCCAAGCAACGCATTGAATACGCGGTTATTTGTGCAGTTGTGTGAAGAAAATGACGAACACTTTCATCAATTACTCCTTCACACTGAAGTGCGCTGGCTGTCGAAAGGCTTATGTTTGACAAGATTTTTTGCACTTTTTGAGACTATTTTAGAATTTCTGGATTTTAAAGATAAAATTTTAAAAGAAAATTTAATGAAGAGGAAAACAGACATCGCCTATTTAACATATTTGTTTACAAAATTCAATATGGTTAATTTGCAATTACTAGGCGACAGTTTAAATTTGATTAAAACAAAGTCCATCTTATCAGCGTTTCTTGCCAGAGTTAAACTAATGAAGCAAAATATTGGACGGGGCGAATTTTCTCAGTTCCCCAATTTGTCACAGACAAGCTGCCAGGAAGACGACGTTTCAACTTACGTTCAACATTTAAATGCCCTCTATTCAGATTTTGAATCTAGGTTTGAGGATATGTTGACTATGGTAATACCACCGTGGATAATTAATCCATATGGTGACGTAGAAGAGACGAATGTCGTAACACAAGAGGAACTGACTGAACTAAGTACAAACGAAGAACTTAAGGTTCAGTTTAAAAACAGATATCAGCAATTCTGGCTGCAAAACTACATACCCGTTACTTATCCCGTATTGTGGAATATAGCGAGGAAATTTTTAACTTCCTTTCCATCGTCATACCTAGTGGAAAGGGGGTTCAGCGCTGTTACCAATCTTCTAACGAAGAAAAGAAACAGACTGGACATCATTAGCCGAGGAGATTTAAGATTAACCCTTACAAAATTGACGTCAAATGTTGATAATTTATTATTAAAGCATCAGGTTCATCCTTCTCACTAAAAATATTGACTTATTGCTTATGTTACTTTATTTATAGTTTATTTTACGTTTATTGGTGTCTGACCAATAAATGCCCGCATTGGGAATAAGTGCCCGCATTGATTTTTTTAAGGAACCCCCCTTTATAGAGAATATTTTTTTTAAATTATTCTGAAAATTCAAGGACAGGTACACACTAAAAATCGTTAATTTTTTGCCTATTTTTAGATAACTTGAACGTATAAGAAGCGGAAATTAATCAAACTAACAGTGAAATTATTGTAGAACATACCTTTATGTTATAATTAATAAACGAACTCGCTTATTGTACTATTTTAAGTAAAAAACTTTTTTTTATTATTTTTCACCTTTTTTTTTATTTTATCCCTCTTTTTTTCCAATGCGGGCACTTATTCCCAACGCGGGCACTTATTGGTCAGACACCTGTTTATTTAGTGTTACGTATATTTTACATAACAGATACAAAATTTTATTTTGAGTAGTTTTAATTTAAATTCAATTAATAAATGTATAAATTAACATGTGTTTGTACTTTAAGTTTTTTACACTAAACTTCACTACAGTTAGAAATTTACAGGAAATCAATATCAGGTAGGTAGGGGTCTACCCAACACGGAAAAACATGGCAAGGGGTCTACGACACACAAAAGTTTGGGGAACTCTGATTTAGAATGTTAAATTGAACACTGAATACCATCCTGTCCGAGCCTGACGCCTCTCGACAGCTGTTCCCTTGTCCGGCGGCGGTCAGGATCTGATCATTACAGTCATTACAGTTTTAGATAGTTACAGTATCAAAATCTTTTCTTTGTTGCTCCATGAATGTACGTCGCTGGATGCAGGGTAACACATCGTCATCAAATCGATGATTCCAGTGTAGGCTGATTAATGAAAATGAATACCAGGTCTTTAAAGCTTTCATTTGCTACTCCATAGAGTATCCCTAAAAGCTGCAATCTTTGACTCAGTTTCCGAGAGAAATTATATACTTATAATCTAATGGAAGTCATCGCGTCGCCTGCGCCTCTCTGCAAGATGCTGTGTACATAGTGTGAGAGCATATTAGAAAATACGCGTACACCTTGGCTTGGCGTAACCGACGAAGTTTGATAAGGTGTCACCGTATATTAGAAACTGTGTGAACTTTCCAGCCAACCTGATTTAATTAATGAGTTTTCGGTTTATAACGGTTCCTCAGAGTCAACTCAGAAGTTCACCTCACCAGCGGTGGCGAAGTTTTTGCTAGACTGTCGTAATCATCACCATCAGGCAATAATATGGTCTCAAGGGGTGATCTTATGATCGTTCTCAAAGCAAAACGTTTAGATAAACATAACCTTAGTAAGTTTTCAGGATACAAGGTATCAAGGTTGTTTCCTTTTTCTAAAATTAAACGTAATTATCATTCCTTGTAAGCCAGATACTTGAGTAAAATCAAATAAAAAAACAATTTCTATAAACCACAATTGAGGCAATGGGTAAATTTCAATGTATATTTAAGGTGTATTTTCCTTCCACAGCCAGTTTCGTACTTTTTATTGTTATTAAAAACATACAACAGTCTGCAACGATTAAATATTTCTACAATGTTTTTATTCGCCGATTTGGCTAAATATACAGGGTGGCGCATCGAAAACGAAACAGGCTAATTTACTGGCAGCTCAGTTTTTTTTTTTTGGAAAAACGCTCAGACCCGTCGATTTTGTTTTCAAGGGGGACACAAGTTTGGCAAAAAATCACGTTAACACGCGCAGCCCCCTGGGCGGGGGTGACACCAACCCTAAAATCTTAAATGGAAAGGGGGGTCGAGTGATACCTTATTTTAAAGGTCTTTCAATTCCTTTTATAATGATGTAAAATACATGAGCTTCAGTTCAGTAGTTTTGAAGATTTATTGACTTAAAGCTTAAAGTAGACTTTAATAGGTGCATCAGATTAGTTTGTACTACTTTCAGAAGAAATTTGACTAAAAGAATTTACTTAATAAGTAAATGCTTTTCTTCACTACGCCCATGGGTTGTTTATCATTTTGTTGTTGAAAATAGCTACTGGAGCGCTTTTTTGTGGCAAAAAAGTTAGACAAATATCTCGTACTTATTTTAAATAGGAATTTAGTACATCGTTTGCGATTGATTTGACCAAGCTTTGTTGCTAAAATAACTTGTAACGCTTTATTACATAAATCAACCATGGTGTATTCCACAGCAGACAGAGCTGAAATTATCGAAATATTTTTCGGAAATAATCAGTGCGCTAATAGAACAGCAGAAATATTTAATGAGCGACATGAGAACAGTAACGTGCATCGAAAATATGTTCTAGAACTTGTAGCTAAATTTCGGGAAACTGGGTTGGTCTCCAATAAAAAACGCAACATTGAAAATCCCATAAGGAACGAAGCAATAGAAGTGGGAGTTTTAGGGCAAGTTTATGTAGATCCTACGTTAAGTACCCGCAAATTGGAGACTGTGTGTGGTGTTGGTCGACGTACTGTCCAACGGATTCTAAAGGCCCATAGCTTTCATCCGTATAAAATTCACCTGGTGCAAGAACTTAATGAAGACGATTTTGATCGGCGATTACAATTTTGTGAAGATATGAGTGAACGAATTATAAACGATGAACATTTTCTATTCAACACTTGCTTTTCCGACGAATGTTCCTTTTTCTTAAATGGCGTAGTAAATTGTCATAACTGCCGATATCGGTCCGATTCTAATCCCAGAATTTATCATGAGGTTCATACACAGCAGCCACAAAAATTAAATGCTTGGACTGGTATAAATTACTTTGCTGTCAAATGTATTGGTCTCCACTAATGATGATGTATTAGTTTTATTTAAGCTTTAAATCAATAAATCTTCAAAACTACTGAACTGAAGTACATTAGTTTTATATCATTATAAGGGGAATTGAAAGACCTTTAAAATAAGGTATCACTCGATCCCCCTCTCCATTTAAGATTTTAGGGTTGGTGTCACCCCCGCCCAGGGGGCTGCACGTGTTAACGTGATTTTTTGCGAAACTTGTGTCCTCGAAAACAAAATCGACGGGTCTGAGCGTTTTTTAATAAAAAACTGATCTGTTTCGTTTTCGATGCGCCACCCTGTATAATAACCAATGAAGGTTTACATAAGGGCCTTTCCTATTTTTTTTTCATTTTCATTTTTGAGTTTTTGATGATATCAGAAGAATAATAACTGCTCTTGAAAAATAGGCATATTTATACAGGGTGTTCAGAAGGTCGATACAAACCTCTCACAAGGTAATAGTACATTCCATCTGGAATTAAATCACATATACCTCAGTACAAAGTCCAACCGTTTTTGAGTTACGTGCGATTTACCGAAATTCTATAGAAAAGTGCCACCACCTACCAAACTAGCAGGGGGCAAAAGTTTAATCTGTGGGTTCGATAACTTAGGAAAGAAACAAAAAGGAATGGAGTGAATATGGCCGCTTAGCTCCGTGGTAATGTCGAGCAGGGTGGCCACCTCTGCGTCCACCTGGTCCGTTGATCAGACCGCACAACTCAAAATAAAAGTCAGTTGTCAGTCAGAGTCAGCGATTTACATATTATAACAAAACAAAAACAGTAAAATATACCACAAAAGGCGCAATAACTACGTTCAACCGATCATGCTACTCTTTGAATAGTAATAAATAGGCTCTCTTCCACTTCTCGAACATAGTAGTGGGGTGTGTGAATTGTACCTCAATAAGACCTAGTGCCTACTATAGTCTAATCATATTAGCAACTTTCCCCGAAAAAAATATTTTGAAGTCTGGTTTTATTGCTGCAAGTTGTTCAAAGTGGTATTCAAAACATGGACGCATAGAGATAGATAGATAGATAGATAGATAGATAGATGCTTTATTGTCTCCGGATCATAGAAATGATATAAGACTCGTCAGGCATATCTCTATGAGTACATTATTATCTACAAAAATTAAAAATATAGTTAAGTATAAATACATAAATTTGTCGGTTAAAAATGGAAAGAAACACAGTTTAGTCGAGAAAACAACAGATACAATAATAATGAGCAGAACAAGGTGTAAAAGAAGTGAGTACAATAAAAATAGAAAAAAAAATAATAGGTACACATATACGAGTAAATATATACACACATATATACACATACATAACACATATATATATACACATATATACACATACATATATACAGGGTGACTTCGAAGTTGAGTCATTTATTTTAACAGTGAGTAGATCTGATCGAAAGAAATGTTTTTTTCCTTTAACATTTTTCTGGTAAAATTAAAGTAACAAAGTTATAGCCCTTTAGAAGTTTGAGTACCGCCCTGTCTCAATAATAATATTATGTGCTCGTGTTTGGCGACAACGGATATAATCCGCATCGGTTCATCGCATCGGAAACTAAAAAGCGAAAGAATTTGAAACGCTTATCACGATGTTTTTAGATGGATTCAGTCGGTAACGCGTGAGTGAATAGTGGTGTTTGTTGCGTGGCTCAAACGAAATAAAAAATGGCACATGTTTACGAAAATGCTGAACTTGTGGACATGATTCTTATTTACAAAATCGGTTTCCCAATCGAGTGCAATCAACCCCTCGTGCCTTTGTTAATGTAGTACAAAGGGCGCGTGAATCAGGTGACTTAAGACCTCACAGGGGATGCCGGTGCTCCAAGACCGCACGATCAAATACAGGTCCGCACTGAAATACTTGTTGGGAGGATACTTTATAGAACAAGGTAACATCTTTTTTTATTTTATTTTTTTTTATTTTTACACACATATTTTGGTTTATCTTCCTTCTACAATCACTATCTGAAAATTAATGACTCAACTTCAAAGTCACCCTGTATATATAGACACACATACATATATATATATATACACACATATATATACAGCTATAGTTTCCTATTTAATTTTTTGGTGCATCACTCTTACCCTGAAAGAAACTCGGCTACTGAGTAGTAGCATCTTTCTATTAACAGACTCCTCAGCTCTTTCTTGAACCTATTTGAGCATCTAATATCTTTTAGTATTGATGGCAACTTATTGAATACCTTGGTGCAGGCGTAGGCATAGAATGGGTATACCAATATTTGTGGGAAAAAATTTTATTCGACAACAAATAATGGGAAAAACTGACAGGGATGAAAAAACTTTTTCAATAAGATGTTTAGGTACCTATGAGTCCTACAAAATGAGATTACAAGTAAAAAGATCCGACTAATAGCTAAAATGTTATAGCCGAAAAGCGAGGCAAAATGCAAGTTTTGGCACTTATTTGTTGGTAATGTGACGATAACTTCACGCAACAACATGAAATTCTTCAAATACGTAAGATTAATGCTTCTAAATAACAACAAAATTGGAGTATATTGGTCAAGTAGTGTTTGACAACGTCCGATTGTTTATCCCCAAAACACCTGTTTTCCGGCCATGACTACTAGTTTATTGAGCATTATACAGGGGTATTCAAAGAGCACATAATAATAAAATCCACTTGTTTACCTTGGCCATATGAATCACAAACTATTTCAAAAGATAAACATTATTTTCATGCGAAAAACAAAGGTTACGATTTTTCTTCTAAGCAAATTCATATTTATGAGCAATGCGCTACGATATTCAAAAAACATTCTTTGCTATACACATTTTAAAACAAAGCAGATCTGTCTATCATCTTTTGTCGCGAATTACTCACAAATACGACATGTTTGAATTTGTTTAGAAGAAAAAACGTAACCAACCCATTTTTGCATAGAAATAACATTTGTCTTCCGGAACGGTTTGCGATTCATATGGGCAAGGTAAGCTAGTGTATTGTGCTATAAAATGCCCTTTGAACTAACCCTGTATATTGCTCAATAAACTAGTAGTGATGGCCAGAAAACAGGTGTTTTTTTGGATAAAAAATTAGAAATTCCCAAAAACTACTTGACCAATCTACTCCAATTTTGTTGTGGTTATTTAGAGGGATGAGTCCCACGAATCTGATGAATTTCAAGTATCTGCTAGAAACCATCGTTGGATTACTAACAAGTGCCAAAACTTGCAGTTTGCTTCAGATTTTTGGCCATACATTCTTTGCTATTAGTCGGATCTTTTTCCGTGTGGTCCCATTTTGTAATTCTCATGAATACCTAAAAATCTTATAAAAATTGTTTTTTTGATTGAATCCCAAAAAACACGTTTCGTCATCCTTTGTTGTCGAATAAAAGGTTTTACCACAAAATTAGGTCTACCCATTTCATGCGTCCATGTATTGTATTTTCGTCTAATATAATTAGGCTACTATGGTCTCTACACAACAACTACTATGAAGAGCGCTACCTTTCCAGTATGTATACCTATACTCCAGACATAAGACATTATCTAGACATACCTCTACACTATATCTGCATTAGAACCAACTAAAATATTGTTTCAGGTTTGGAAAGTGTCATGGACTGAATCAGGAATAAAACACAATAGGCTTAGGCTCAACCCACCTGTAGTTTTCCAGCCTTCACCTGGTGGTATCCCTTATGAGATGACGTTCAACCCTCTGAGCGGTAACTCAAGCGGGGCTCAATTGTTTGAAGCAGTTGTAGTAGGCTGTGGACTAGCAGCATGCAGTATTACGGGTTGCAAGCAATATCAGATGCAGCAGGGCAGTTGACTTTGGCGGTGAAGAAGGTTATTGTACAATTTCATCCAGCAGGAAGAAAAGCGATGAGAGATAGCCGATAGGATACAATATTCAAGATTCCAGATTTAAGGTGTGGTTTAAGCTGCTATTTAAGATGTCGTTTAGGGGCTGCGGACAAAAGCTAAGCATTAACATCACTGAAGCAACTGGACATATGCTGGGAGGCAGCAACGAAAAGGTGAGACACCAACCTCACGCGAGGAGTCTCCAAGTCCTTATTCCTAAATTTGGCTGTTAAGCTTCCACATCATAAATGGTGCTATATTGGATAATTTTGAATCAAATCCGTGAATTACAACTGACCATCCAGTCTTGATCAAAAATCCAAAATGGTTAAATTTTTCTTATTTCTGTCCGTCCGTGGCGCCTAGTCATTTCAATGACACTATCAGGCTCGGATTCTGACAGTTTTAAAAAGACATTGTCTTGACATTTGACAATCAACCCCTTTTCAGTTCAAGTTATGTAACCCTAAACAATAGCTGCTAATTATTTTAACGGGGATACTAATTAGGGAGAAATAACGAATAATCTGTCAAGCATAGGGTGAAACAATTTCAGGTATCATGCTTCTATGCTGGTCACCAGAGGCAAGGGATCAGCAGGTGAATGCAGAAATATATAATGCTATCTACAATGTAGATACAACTATGTATAATAAATATTGGCAAGGATATGAGATCCTTACATTTTTGGAGTATGTATATCTTATGAACTAGTAAAAGAGTAAGTAGCAGACAACCTTCTAATTCGCGAAACCCATGCTACTATAGTTTGCAAAAAAAATCGTAACAAAAACCCTAGTCACGTAGTAAATCCGCGCTTATTCAATAATAAAGAGAGGAGCCTTTCTGCTCCGCTATTTGCTCATTTATCTTGATAGACAGTCTTTCTATGAGATTAGCTTCGAGGGTATCAACAACTGGCGTACATGCTATAATTTTTTTTGCTGACTGGTTCGACTTGTGCATTGTATCCTATCGGGTAATCTTCTGAAAAAAATGCAGCAACAGTGTATGTTCGAATCACTTGAAAAACTTGTTCCACTTCTGCTTTTTCTTACAGTATGCTATACGAAGCCATACGTCTATAATGTCTTTTTTGTTTTACAAAATATAATAGACTAGGCATACGATCTCAAGACGGGCGCTCTTGTCGCTTGACATCAACAAAGCTTCTGGTCTGGACTTGATTCCTGCAGTCCTTCGCGTCTCTTCCAGATAATTTACAAATCCGGCACCTTCTCAGAAAACTGGAAATCTGCTCATGTCCAACCCATCTCGAAAAAGGATATCTAAGACCTACCCTTACAACTGCAGGCATATAGCTCTGCATTCTGTTATAAGAAAGGTGATTGAAAGGTGCATAAATCGCTTGATTAGCGACAGTCAGTATGGTTCCAGACACCAGCGATCCACAGAGGACCTCTTAGCTCACGTCACGCAATTGTGGAGTAAGCTCATCCAATCTTATGGTAAGCGTTCGATCAGCCGTAGCATGCTGCCTTTTTTGGGATCTTCAGAGCAGTCGCGGTGCCCTGACACAGTAAATAAAACGATCGAAACATTCTTAGTTCAAATATGGTTTTGATCATTCTTAAGTTTTGACCTTAGGAGATCACGGGAGAGCTCAAATCCAGGTACGGTGCTATAACTTGAAAACCAATAGTCGTATAGGGAAACTGCCCAATCATTATTTTCAAGACTTTTTCCTGGATATCCAATGACAAGTTCCAAAAATGGTCAAGGATATATTCGAACATAAGGTGTTCCTTTTCTCCGTTTCCTCGGTCAAAGGTATAGGCTGCCATGGAAAAAGAGTTGTCCTTCAAATAACATTGGGAGTCATGGTGTCACGTGCCAAAATCACGTAACTTTTTTTTACTATTTTGATGACTTACTAGTAATTTCTCTTTATTAATGACAGAGCGCCCATTACTAGGCCAAACGCTTTTCAATAACTTTCTTGGCAAACTTCATAGTTTATTGATTGTATAATTTCACAAATATTATATCTTTCTTTCTCAGTGATTCACAATTGTGTTGGGAAAAAAAACTCTGTGGTTTTTCTCCATTACTTGTTATCCTGTCGAATATGTATTCTTCAAGGCCACTCATTGAATCGTCCTTTATGAATTTAGGTGTTTCGTATCAGTGACTTTCCTCCTGAGATTGTGGTGTGAGCGCCGTTTTGTTCAATCTCCAGATTCTGGGATCTAAGGTGCCGAACACCAATTAGTGGAGTAGTACCCCTTTATACGCCAGCTGTCTTAAGTCACTGGCGGTCTGGACCCCCTCACTCTCCGTTCTATTGAGCTTAAACTTGCACGCCACTACACAGCTGTTTTGTACTGACCCACCGATTGATTTTATATACAGTATTTTATTAATTTATGAATTAATTTAAACAAGAAAAAAGAAAAAGGAGAATCCCACCATCTTTTCCTTTTGTTTATAAAAAACGGCGTCGCTATGGTCAAGGTCAGATCCATGGTCACTATTGGATATCGAAGGAAATATCATAAAAATTATCGGTAGTTTCACTGTACCACAACTGGCTTTCAAGTTACATCACCGTATCTGGGTTCGACCTTGAGCATGACCTCCTAAGGTCAAAATTTAAGAATGATCAGGATCAAATCTGAACGTAAATTGTTCCGCTCTTTTCAGTTACGGTGTAAAAACTGTGGGGTTCCATTAAAAAAAATGACTTGACCTTCAAATGAGCGTGAAGGTCATAGTCAAGGTCAAAATTGAGGCAACTATTGCTTGGCTGGAGAAAACCCATGAATCGCAAGGCTTCGCTATTTCCTACCAGGATTAGTCCACAAATTATCGTGAGGTTCCGGGACTTTTTATCTTGTTCCATTGCAGTCCTTTTCTGGTTTTATTTTGCATTTATGATTTTATTTCATTTTTCGACTCAGTCAGTCAATCTCAATCACACTATATTTTTATGAACAGAGTTATAAGTTTTGACTATACAATTTCCGGGCTTCCCCTATAAAGAAAATACCGTCGACTCCATTTCCAAATGCCCTGAGCGGATGATCTCTAGAGAGTGACAAAGTCCAACGCCACTGGTGGAACGAGCTGCGAGAACTGTATGCGAATCTAACTTGAAGAGGCGTTTCAGGGTGTCGCGCCTAATATAACGATACGTTTGACAGGGAAATTACTGAGTCAGAGTTTCTTTGGGCCCTTTGACGCTAATGCTATCGCGTGTTACACTTTTACTGACTGTTCGGGAAAGTTTGCAAGGAGTTTTGCCATTAAATACCACCTTAGTTAGTAGATTCGTCGTGTTAAATAGGCTCGACGTGAACATTACCGCCACGTTATTTAGTTATGTTGAACTTCATATTAGGTAAAGATGTCGTAGGTGAAATGGTAACAAGATGAGTCATCAGCAGTTAAAGTCGTAGAGGTAGTTTGACCACATAACAACGCACTTATAAAGTTATGCATGTTATAGGTCTAAAAAAGTAATGTGTCCTCGGGGTCCCATTCTGTTTTTACGGTGTATCTTTTCACGCTGAACTTAAATCGGAAGCTAAAATTGGGGGGGTTGGTGAACAAGTAATGAAGAAGTAAGGCCCAATTTCACCAACAACAGTCCGCTATTCTTCACCTTTAGGGTAACAGACCGTTAGATACAGCGAATGAGCTTCAAGTTCCAATCAACAAATTTTAGCAACCGATAGCTATGAAATGTTGAAAACAAAATACTGTCAAAGTACGAGATGACAACTTGTCATTGAAACATCACCTACTTACTAAATATTAAGGCCCGTATCGTCAGTCATCCCTACAATTGTAGGGCGCGTTTATGGCCTCCTTGATTGTCATACTACTTTCTCTCCTTCAAAAATTTCTAGATTACACTTGTCCCGTGTCAGCGTCAGCGCTCTCCTATTGTAAAGATATGTTTTCTTTTTAAATTGTAGGAATTTCAGGCTGATAAAACATGATATAACTCAAAAGCAAGCACAATTTGATGCAAATAGATGTTTGTGACATAACCTCAAAATAGAGCGCTGACACGGAGAAGTAGAAAACTATGACAATCAAGGAGGCCATAAAGGCGCCCTACAATTTTAGGGACGACTGACGATACGGGCCTAAGAAATTACATATAATTCAGTCGAAATTTTAAGAAATGTTTGATTTTTGAATTAAATTCATGTTTGTATTATTTTCTTCAATTGATATGCGATACTGGGTGTTTTTTTCCTATAAACCTCTTGCAGATAGCCATTAAGCACCTATTTGATGACAGGCTCTACCAAAAGATATTGCTCGTTTCCAAACATTCATTCATTTACTTGCTGTTCATCAGAACCATTATGGCACCTTAGATTGATATTCCCACAAAACCATTCAGGTTTTTTGATATCCATACATCCATAACGTTGAATATTTTTCATTGTTAAGGAACTGAACAAACATCCATACTATATTCACAGCGATTAATAAATTCCCAAATATACGCCTTAAAGCTACCGTCAAACCTAAAACCTGCAAACAAAACTACAAATTTGCCATATTTTTATTTTTTTCACGAGTACGCATTCTAGGTTATATTTATATTAGACATTATTTGAATACAGCTGATTATTGCATTTTAAGGAGTGATACATGTGTGGGATCTGTCAACTCTTGGTACCAGTCACAAAACATATTATACTCTGAAGGTTTAATTCCATGCTATTCAATGACACCACGTGACTTGTGTGGTTATCAGCGGTCATTTTGTGAGGATGCGACAGGGTTGCCTGATTGTGCATTAATATCCCGTTTCACGCTCCTGGTCCCAGTGGAGTAAGTTCCGCCAACTGTTGAAATATACTCTACTAAGCTTTATAAGACTATTCGTGACATTTTTCCCATAATCATTGCACAACACTTGAAAAAATGCAAATGAAAATTTTAAATTATTTCCATGACGCCGCAAAATAGCTCCGTCGGTACCTTGGGTTATACATCTTGACAGTAGGGATGTTCGATAGGATCCTATATTTAGAAGAATCAATACATTTCACGAGTATCGTTATCTTTCGATCCGGTCTGTGTCAGAAAGGGTGACTGCCATTTGGTTGCTACATTACCCTGCCAAATCAGACATATCTTTCATCATTTTCAAAAAAAATTGTACAAAATCTTCAAATGTGTGAAGTTAGCGAGTTTCACTTCATACATTCTTACCAGACATCCCCAAATCATCAGTTGCTGCCGTGATATTCTTCCCGACCACTGCATCCCCACGGCTAGGCGACCTGAATGTTAAATTTGTATTGATAGGGCAGCGGGTCATGCTATAAATCATATCTCACAGTGTTTGTGCCCTGGTTGCAACGGTTAGATGATACCAAAAATATTTTCATAAATAGTAGATCTTTCCCATTCCGGATCGAACAATCTACCAAAGATGCTT